GCCAACAGAACCTTTCACTGTGGGAAACAAGCACTTGAGCCTGTAGGCGTCTTTTGGCACGCTCCACCTGTGTACTCATCCACTTGATGAGAACAGGATAAAGAATAACCATATTAAATTTTTCCACTGCCCTGTAGACCACTGTCTGTGGTCTTTGCACGAAGTTATGCTTTAAAATTGATGCATTTGGATATGCTTTAAAGAATAAATATTTAAATAATAAATATAATACGTTATATGCCTTGAATAAAATGTATGACATTCTGCATTATTTCCTCATTCCCCTAACTATCATTAAAAATAAAATTGAGTTTTACCTTCTATTGTAAGTTTATTACACTGTCAGTTTTCCTACATTATACAAGATATCCACAATCAGAAAATCTAATTGTGTTCTGATTAGAAACCAACGGAATATTTTTTTTTATAAATGGGTTGATATTTATGACGGAACATCCAGAATATAGTATACTGCTATACTGCATATGCTCTTCCTCATGCAATGCTTATATTGTATAAGGCATACAACTTGTCATCCACTGTAATTTGCTGTTCACTCAATAGTAGCAACTCAGCTTCAGAAATTCCAACACAATAACATTTTCAAACCTGCTTTATTTCAAAATATTTTACCCCATTTGTTTACGTTATGTCTGTGTAGGAATGATTATGTCTCCAAATTAGTTTGACAAGGGAAACAGTATGCATTGTTAGCAAAACTGAAGAAATTCAGCTATTTCGAATACTTGTTCTGTGTTGTAATTCTCAGTGTGGTATTTGTATTTGACACGTATATACTGACTTTTTACAACACTCATTCATTTCAGTCTGTCCTTAGCCTCCTGTATTTGGAATTTCTTTCAACATAATGTATGGAGAAAACTTCCCCAAAATTGTACTTAGCACATACTAGCAAGGAAAAGGTCAATTTTTGCACTAATATAAAATATAAAAGCTCCTTTTGACTTAAACTCAATGGCACTTCTGAATTCAAGCCCAGCAGTTTAAGAAAGAAAACCCCTGAAGAAGGCTCCATGGCCAAAATGTTGTGTTTTCTTTCTTCTCTTTTCAGCAAGGAATAAACCTATTACTTGTTCCTTAATTCCATTTAGGTTCACTTTAATTCTATTTTTTGAAACTTTAAAATGCCTATTTTGTTTTTTGATATTCAGTGGTTAATTGTATTTAGTTTAAATGTATTTATTTTAATTACAAATAAGAAATACAGCCGTACTCTCCCTTCCCCTTGTATATGTTGTATTATTTCTACTGTACTTGTATAGTCCATGTTATGCAGGAAAGTGGACTGCAAAACCTGCTGTTGGTTTGGTCCTGAGAAACGTGCTATACTGTTATTGTATCAAAATAGTAGACTGAGCAGTGTGAATGTTCATCAGCTACTAAATACACGTGTTGAAAAACATTTTCAAGTGCAAAAAGATTTAGGAGTTCTGAAGGCAAAATTAAGTGAACACTCTTTCTTAATTGAATAGCTGTCTTGAGAGAATTGAGAGAATTCTGAATTTGACAGGCTTTGATTGAGTTCCCAGTTTGACAGGCTTTTTTTGTACCTGCCATGTAAATCTCCTTTCTTCTCAAAATGGCACTTTTCATGAGGTACATGTATTATATTTGTGTGTCTATTATGTGAAATGTTGAATGGCTGTACTAAATATTATTTTCAAACCTCCAAACTAAAACAAATATTGGGTAGTTGTAGACCTAGAGTACATTGTGGCTCTTTTTTTTTTTGTTCCATGTGTAAATCATTTATAGCATTGCGATTGACATTTGTCCTTCACACGTAAAAGAGTGTCTCCTCATTTGCATGTAAGTACAATTGTGCAAGAGTATAATGGAAATCATCTTGTCATACATTTTATTTAGTGTGAAAACCTGATTTCAGAAACTTGTTTTTGTGAAGTTTATTTTGTAAATCTTTAGAACTTGGTATTCATATTAAATATACATACAAACTCTTTGGAAGTCATTAGAATGTTTTTGAAAGTCACCTTAAAACACCCCTTGACAAATTCTCACGCGCTGAATTCAGGTAATACTGTAAACAAATTTAGATACACTAAATGATTACTATACCTAAATGCTATTAGTAGATTTAAGTGATTATTTTCAGAGTCTATTATCCCATGCATGAGCTGTTATTTTGTGGAGTCTCCCTTGTGGGGTTATAATCATTATTCTGACAAACAAATTAAATTGTAAATTTTCAATTACTTCACTGCATATCATTTTATCTTCAGTTTACAATTAGGATTAAATCTTCAAGTTCAAACAATGTGGTTTTCTGGTTTCATATTTTCTGTAGTTTTTTCCATGAGCTAAGAATTTATCTCTTCTTACACAATCTATCCAGATTGGTAGCTGTCTGGGTATCACCTGTGTATTCTGAAACAACTATAAAATATGAGTAAGGTTAATACTTTGTGGTGTTGCTTGTCTAGTTCTGTGTACCACATGCACATTTTACACAATCATTTCTGATCTGGACCAAATGTACAGTAAGTGTAGCATTTACTGTGGCTCAAAATGTCATCATCAACGATCAAAAGTTCTTCTTAGGAAAGTGGTACAGATCTTGATCACATATTACAGGTGCATTTGATTCTGGAAAGGTAAACACTCAAAGCACAACAGACATGCATTGGTTCTGTCCTTCTGGTTGGAGTAAATTAGAAACAGCATTAGATAGGTGAGTAAGCAATACTGTACAAATACCCTACAAATTCGTACAATACTTTACAAATACCCTATTTCTAATAAAACAGTGGATTTTCAAGCTGATGAAGCTCTATATTGATTCTATGATTGTTTTTAACATTTTCTGAGCATTGCTGTCATAAAAAGGCTGTTATCCTCAAAGATAAAATAATTCAGTAGTTTTACTTTATTTAATCTTACAAGGAAAACAGTAAAATAAAAAAGTAAAATAAATTGATTCCTAAGAGCTATGATAATCCTGAATTAAAATGGAAGAGATCATCTCTTTTTTCCCTGTCAGGAGCTGGAAAGATTAAATTGAGATTTAAAAATCAGAAACAGGTCAAGCATAATCTGGCTGCACTGGAAACTGACATCCAATGTACAGACATAGGTGCCTGTGATGTGTTACATTTCAGTAATCCTAGGCCTTAAATAAAGGGACTAGATTTTCTTTATATATTATTAACATGCCAGTGATTTTCAGATGTGTTTTGAAAGGCATGAGTTAGGTGATTTTTACTGGCAATGTCACGAGTTTAACTGCTGACTTTGCTTAAAATGTTTATAGCCATTAAGTTGTTGCATTTTAATTACTAACATGAATAGATTTGCTAATTAGAAAATAACTTAAAACTTTCTTTGAAAAACCTAACAGCTTGATTTAAATATGTTGTACTGTAACAATTTTCATGCTGCTTTTTATAGCAGTGCAACTTTTTCTCTGAGTTCTTTCTAGAACTGGATGAATGAGATATTTGCATCAATTAGCAACTAACTAGCAATAAACCAGATGAACCAAATGGTTTTTGGTTACTCATTTGTAACCTTTCTTATGTACTTTTGTACAGTACTGTACTTTTAAATTCTATATAATTGTTTAAAAGTTGTACGGTCTGCCTGAAGGAATTTATCTGTTCAGACCCAGTGTCTGATGTGTTTGTTAAGGCCTGTGTTTTGGTCTTGGTTGGCTGGAGCTGGTTGAAAGATCATGTTTTTTATGTGTAACAGTGACTTACAGTATATTGCTAATCTAGTGCTATAGAGACTGAAGGTAGGGGCTGGAGTGGTGTATGTTTTGGTTCATCGAGATAGATATCAGTCCAATTCACAATGATTTACAGATTCCTAATTAGGATTTTGCAGTACAAAAAAATGTACTGAAGTATTGGGAAAAGAACAGCAAACTGTAAATTGAGATTTTGACTGGGTCAATTAACAAATAATGGTGAATCTCTTTATTTTCAAGGGGAACAACTATTAGAGAAATTGTTAGCTGTTGGATAAGTTGGAACTCCTTAAAGAGCTGTAAATATCCTGTCTTGCTTTGAAAATGGTGCTTGGGGTCCATAGCTGAAAGTCGCCTTTGAAACTTTAGACTTCTTCAGTTTCCTTCAACATGGCACATTTGGTTAAAACTTCTTCTGTGTGTATTAATGGAATTCAAGAATAAAAGAAAGAACTCATAACTTAATACAGAAAATTCCACCTAAATTACTGTATCTTCTAATTCCACTGGAGAAAAAGAAAAATAATAAGAAATGTTACAAACAAAAGGAGGCTGTTTAGCCAGTCTAGTTCATCTGGTAGGTAATAGCTAATTGACCTCATCCAGAGCTTTCTTGAAAGAAGCCTTGGTGTCAACATCATCAAAATGGCTGGGCAGCTTTTTCCATGTTCCATTGCTTGTTTTTGGGTTTTAGAAATTTCAGAATTTCATCACCTGTTACCACAATTTGCTTCCATACTGGATGCACCTAATAGTAACTGCATAATGCAGTAGATTTTTTAAAAATGCACGCAGTAATCTTAAAATATGAACCCTGGCCACTAGATTTTCTGTTTTTTCAGTGGGAGAAACAAAGTTCAGTTTGTTAATCTGAGATGCAAGCCCTGATGATCACTAAGTACACAGTCTTTGAGTGCCAGGCAGCAGCCCCCTCACCAGTCCTCTTCAAGGACATTCCTCATACTACTTGTAATTGGTCTCATAGGTCACATGGGAAAACTCAGTGATACAAACCTCCCCCCCAAAAAGAAAATATATATATTTTTTATTTGATCCTCTGAAGTTTAATGTGAAGCAGATTTTTTTGTCTCATACTTTTCGGATCACATTAGTGCTCCATAAGCATTATTGTTTTCAGGTAGTATTTAACTGGCAATGTAAACTTTTCAGCTTTAAAGTTATTTTCTTTTCGATTTTCAGGCCTTCTTTTTTTAGGGTGTGCAACGTTCTTTCCTAACAGGAAAAGTATCTTTTTATTTTTCTCATTGATTAGAAAGTGGATCTCCTATAACTGCCTCCTGCATTGGTCTTGGAAACTCATCAACACCCCCTGCAGGTCAAGCTGGAAAGGCTGTCCCTGGATACAACGGTATGTATATAGCTGATTCGTCCACTTCACTAATACAAGAAAAAAATATTTTCTTTTACAAAGGACAAAGGGGACAGTTAAAATTTGGGTAATATAAAAAAATGCTATTCAATGTTATTGAATTTGGAGGATTTCTGAATGTAATGGAAAATACTACATAATGTTAATTACAAGTCAGAGGACATAAAGATAAATTATTTCACAATTAAATCCACTGTCTAACTGCTTCGTCCAGTTCAGGGCTGTGGGAGCCTGTCTTGGCAAGCAATGGGCACAAGTAATGGGCACAAGGCTGGGTCATGTATCAATTTCGGGTGGGATGCCAGTCCATTGCAGGGCACACACAGACAGACACAGACAGCACACACTCACACCATGGGCAGTTTTCCCAGAAGCCACTTAACCTACAAGTATATCTTTGGACTGTGCGAAGAAACCCACACAAACACAGGGAGAACATAGGAACTCCACGCAGATAGCACCCTAGGAATTTAGCCCAGGCTGCTAGTTTCGCAAGACAGCAATGTTAACTACAACACCACCATGCCACCCATGCATGTTTCTAGCATGTATTTGTTAATTCACAAGATTTTTATAAATTAAAAAACATTTTTTAAACAAAATTAATAGTTATTTTGATACCAGTATCTGTTCCTATAGATTTAAATGAACATTATTTTAGTTATCTGTGTAAAATGTGCACAGTAAAATCTGTGCACACAAATCTTCTCCTTTTCACTTAAGGTCCCGCATTATTTTTTTTACTTTAATATTTATATCTCTTTTGAAAATATACTTATTTCTTAACTTATTACTAGACATATAGGCAGATGTTTGAGGGCATTTACTGATTTTTTTTACTGATATTTAAATTTAATTTTGTCCCTCACACAACTATTCTATTGTACATTCAGGACTAACTAAACTTCTTTTGAAATATTTTTCAGTCATGGTGGTCGATGACAACATGCAGGAAGTTAAACCAAGAACTTTAGGAAACATTGTGGTAAAGTAAGAACAACCTTTTCATCTGTTGCAGCAATTGTTGTGCTCTTTTAAACTGCACACCTCACATAATTTCAGGTGAATTTAAATGCAAAGGTTTTATATTGTCCATTCAGGATGTGAAATTACACTCTTGGGATTTAGAAAGAAGTTACATTTTATATGTCTTCTGTTAAAAAAAATAATTCTGTTCACATTTTCTTTTTCTCTCTTACTCTTATCTCACAAATTGCAAATTGTAATTTTGTCTCTTTGGAATTTGCATACTATTTCATTTTATTGAGACCAATACAAAGTCACTTTTAACAACTAAAATGTAGCACTGTAGTGGTGTCACGTACACATAAATATACTGTATATCTAAGTCTAGAGTGAGGTACAGGTGGTGGCCAAATAGAAACATCAATATAAAATCATTTAACAGGGAGTTGACTGTGCATGGTGTATATGGTCTGTAGTCAAAGTCCTATGGGGTCATCTAGTTATCGCCAGTATTTGGAATTATGTAGGAGATACTTGGTGACATTCTTCCAATAGAAATTCAATCAAATCACACCTGTTGATAGAGATGGAAGAAGCTGTCTCGAGCATTGTTCTAGAGTTTCCAATAAATGCTTGATTGGGTTTAGTGACTGGTGACTAAGACAAGCCATGACATATGGAAAACATCAGTGTCATACCTCATATTTACTAATTGGGAGACCCCATGTGCTCCGTGGATGAGGGTACTGTCATCCTGGACTAAACACATTCCAGGAGGAAAGAAATGCTGCAGGATGGAGTGAAAATGATCTTCCATGTACTAAGTAGAAATTAGCATTGGCCTTGACTTCTATGTGAATTAGTGCACCACAATCATGACAGGAAAATGCACCCTCCCCGACATTATGGAACCACCAGAAACTCTCAATGTTGAAACTAAGCACTCAGTTCTTTTGGTTGGTACACTGGTCACTATGTAAAGGATGATCCATCTGACCACATCACAGTTCTTCACTGCTTGGTGGTTAATTGCCTCTGCTCTTTGGACTGCTGGACTCACGAATGTCATTGCCAGATGTGATAAGTAAGTTGTGTACTGCAACCTGACCATGGTAATCTGCTCTGTGGAGTTCTCAGCAGACTCTTTTTGATTAAATTGGCTGCTTGTACCCCAGGTTTGCAGTCAGATGATTAGCCATTGTTTGCCTGTGTAGCCTTGCACTTTGAATTATCGCACAATTCTGTTATATGTCGTTTTAATTCCACTTGGCCAATGATGTCTTTACCTCAGATTTCTGTGCTTACGTCATTTTGGACACATGAATCATGAGGACGTTGGGCTGTCTTGGTCACTGAAGCTCCTGCCAAATCACGCCACTTGTCATCCCACTTTCACTAAAGCCACTGAAGTCTCTTTTTTCTCTCTTTTAGCCATGCTCTCCAGAATTTATTATAATGTGATAATGTGATTTGCTTAGTTAATGCAGGTGCCACTATACAAGTATGTGTTGAAGTCCTTGCTTTCAGTATACCTGGGGTACCTCATTTACCCAGGTGTATTTTTTGTCCACTACCTGTACATGTATTAAGATTACATTCCTGCACTTTTAAGGACTTTTATATGCCCTAACAAGATAATTTTTCAGCATACCCTTGTAATGCTGGAATGTTTTGATAAAATATGCTACCATGAGCAGGGATTCATAGATGACAGTAATAGTCATCTGTTACATCATAACAGTTCCAGTGTAAGAGGAACTTAGTTTTATGTCTTTAATTATTAAGGTCTACTAATTGGTTTGTTTTTAGTAGTTCCTCTGTATTAACACAACTATAGCTATAAAATGTCAGATTTATTTATGGGTACAGAATCTTGTAAAGAGAATGAGTGGTTGATGCAATACAAAATGCTTAGACTTACTTTAAATAGACTGTTTTTTTGATTTGGTACACTACTTGCTGACTGAGACTTTAATTAATTTACAGCAAATGCTATTTTAATCCTTCAATTGCCCTAGATTCTGCTACAGCAACTGATGGAACTCATGGGACTGGGGTCTGACATCATTATTGTGTTTTTAAAATACTTGGTTTCTTAGCTAAACAGACTGTTCTCTCTATGCTTTCTTCCAATTCATTTGGTGTCACCTTAATGTCAGCTCTGCAATGGCAATTGTGAACTGCTTGTCTTTGAAAACATGTCCTTTTATTTACAGAATGAGAGGTATTTTTGCAGCTCATCATGTTTGTGCTTGTTGGTTCTTGCATAAATTAATTATAATTGGATATGCAATTACATATTATATTCATGTTTAGCGGTCCTTTATTACTTTCTATTAAAGCATAACACGTGACCTGAATTTAGGACTACAATAAAAACAATGGTATAATAAATGGTACAAAAATAATGGTAGTAATAACAGAAGCAACGTCAGTTACTATGTTTCCTACACATTTGTATCGGGGGTAAGATTTAGTTTTAAGCATCCTTAAAGAAGACATTTAAGCAGTATGAAATTAGAAATAACAACAAATTGAATTAAGGAGGTATACTGTACATTTCAAGTTTATCTTTACCTTATTAAAACGTAGTATTAGGAACACATTACAAAATCAATACAGCATTTTAAGGTGAATTTAGTATGTTGTTGCTTGTTTAATCACCATGAGAATGTGTCGGTTCTACTGCTTAAGCTTTAATGAAGGTACAATGACTTTCACCTTTACCCTTTCAGTTTCCCTGTATCACAAATCGCTGTACTTTGAAATATAAGGACTGATTCCAAACGAAAGTAGGCCATTTGGTTCATCTAGCTCATTTTGTTTTTTTGCAGTCACTAATTGATCCAGTGATCTTATCCTGCCATTTCTTGAAGGAATCCAGGGTATCAGCTTCAGCAACAAGTCTGGATAGTGTGGCTCAATACTACCACCACTCTGTGTGTTTCCTTAGGTTTTGAATGCACTTTCCTGCTTCCACTTGTGTTGTTTTTGACTTGGCTTTGTTTACACTGTAAAAGCCTGTTTGCATATGTGTACTGTACGTCATGTGAGTTTTGGAACTGGAATTTATGCAGCTTCTTATAATCATGTATTTGCTCGAGATGTTTTCTATTGCTTTATTATTAAGCACAACTGACTCTAGATTATCATATGTCTTTCTAGACCTCCTTTCTAGATATTGTAAATATGATTTTACACAAACCTTTTCAAACTTTGTCTCAGGTGAAAAAACATGACACAAAACTTTATGACCACACAGTAGTGTGCTGTTTATTACCTCACAATAGTCAAGTGATTTATTTATTCAGAATCCTTTTTATTCAGAACTATTCAATGATTATGCTTCATTTTCTAGTATTAACACTGTTGTAATGCATACTAATCGTCAAGAACAAGTGCATTTGGTTTGCTCAGTACTCTAATAACTTGAATTGCATCACTGTGATACTAAGTTTTGATTTTTGAACGATGGCCAAAGTATCTGTTTTCTGTAGACGGCTCTTATTCATTTTACATTGACTTTTTCAGTTTTCATTCACTAATTATTTATAATGCTAAGAATTTGGAATGACAAAAATAGCTTTAATAGTCCATTTTGGAATTTGTTATTGAGGCATTGTATACATCCATTCATATATAAAATTAGAAAGAATTGTGTGTGTGTTTGTGTGAATATTTTCTGGTGATACTTATATAAAGTTCTTAATATAAAAATAGAATTTATGGACATAAATAAATTGAATATTTGGTGCAAGCAAACAAATGTGGCTATTTCTTCATTTTTGGAACTTTATTGTGCTCTTCTTAAATGAATCAAATAAAATTGAAATAACCTTATAAAATTTTCAAGTCAAATTGGTGTTACGTTAACTCAATGTTTCACTTACTCCTATCAGAAAAACAATCAATTTTAAATTTTCTTGTATAGGATGAAATAATCTCTGTGGAACATTTTTTCACATTTAAAATCAATTGAAATTAAATGGGATTCCAAAAACACCTTTTGACCTATTATATAGAATTTTAAAGCCTCTGACTTTTACATTAAGCTTTTTTTTT